TTATTTACTAAATGACAATGTCTATGTATATCTATTGAATGTCCATTCAGTGCCCACGTGCAACGTACCTACAACCTTACTCGGTTGAGCTTTTCATAGTCGCGAGTGCATGTAATCTTCATAATTTGGATTTCTATGAATATCTAAAAGACATTTACAATGTGCACGAGAAACATACCATGGATATTTGTGGTTCACTGGATAAGAAGTGCCCGTCCCGCGCCCTCGTTGACCCATCACTACAAGACAACGAAGATGAGGTCTACTTCTTGAGAATCTTAAACGTCAATGACTTCGCCGATCGACAGCCAGCCAAGTCGGAACTCAATGTTCTTTTGAACTACCTCGAAGACATGATTACCGTTGTTCCAAAGATATCCACAGGGGGACTGGTGTCGTTTTCCCTGCGAAACGGTGTCCCCCTAAAAAAGACTTCTCGCCACATAAGGCGAACTACCTCATCATAGTACCTTCAGCGTTGCATTCAGAAGTCCTGGTTGCTCTGCATGACGGCCAGATGGCTGGACACTTTGAATTTTCCCATATCGTCGCGAGGTTATAAGAACTACTGGCCCTGTCTCACAGCCAAGTCACCCCCTACATGAAAACCTGCAGAGACTATGCTTTTGCTATATGACCTGTCCAAACTGGAAGAACGAATAGGAACGAACACAATAAAAGCACTGGCAGTTGAATATGTACTATATCAATATGTACTATACCAATATATATATATATCAATGTACTATATCAATATGTTCAATATGTACTATATCACTTGAAATCCTTTTTCTCTTTCTGGTGACGTGTACGAGATGTATTCGAACATGTTTCTTTTATCCGTGACCTATGCGGGATGTATTCTGACACAGTTTTGCGTTTTTGTTTTTGTTATTTCCATATAGAATGCGTCTTGAGCGTACAGTGTGAAATTTGTTTCCACATATGTTCTTTGTACGTGCCAGATAAGTAACCCCAACTCCTGTCTAGGCCCTTGGGCTGACAGTATGAATAAATAAATAAAAAACAAAAATAAATAATTACAAGGCACATACATGTCGTGACGGAGTGTATTTTTGAAAGAAATATACTTTCTTAGCATGCAAGGAACGTTTTCAGACGGAAGCCGAGAGATAGGACAGAGCGTACACTTACAACCAATTTTACTGCACAGATGGCGGGAATATATATACATTCAAGAAGGCGAGGAGATCATACACAAATGAAAGGACGATTGATGGCGCATGCCCCAGACCACCTTATTCCTAACCTGAAATGACAACCTAAATGAGAAGATACTCGTATTCATTATAAGACAGATTGACGGACAAGACACTTAGACACTCAGTTCCTACTTTGCGAATCAAAAAAGCTTCATATATTTCACGTGCCCTCTTGTTCTTATACGTTGCCATTACTTGGCATTCATCAAACTTCGGTGTGCACCCACAATTTTCACAGTGACTTGCCAAGTGGCTGCCCACTAATACGCGCATCAGATTTGCATGCTCCAAAAGGCAATCGTTCAGACAGCGCCCCGTCTGACCGATATAGTATCGACCACATAATAAATAAATCAGATCCACAATGCCTACAATACATTCTACAAACATCTTTGCATGCTTCGTATTGCACCCAACATTTAAAGATCCTTTGTAGTTAACTCTTTTATAAAGAGAGCTCAGCTTGTTTTTTGCCGTGAAGACAACTTTTACCCCAGTTTTCTCAACAATTCTTTTTAAGCAGTTCGAAACTTTGTGCACATAAGGAATGGCAGACACTTTAGACTTTTGCAAGTCCTGAGATGCGTGTCGTGCATTCTTGCCCTGCTTAAATACATTCAGAAGGGATTCTGATATGCCCGAGAAAAAGTGATCAGGAAAGCCTGCTTTCCTAAGTCTGTGAACTTGGTTGCCAAAACTGGTCTGAACCTGGTGATGGCAAGACCTTGACAATGATGTCATCATACATGCTTTGGTGATTCCTCGCTTAACAAGCTTGGAGTGTGTGAACTAAAGGATAACAGGGCCTTCTTGGAGCGGGGAGCGTATTGCCAGCAAACACGTTCTGGCAGAAACAAAAGCTCCAAGTCTAGAAATCCAAGTCGGTTATTGTCAGGAAACTCTGTTGTCAGCTGCAGATTGGTCATGTTTTCAGAAAAAATGCTAAAAATCACTGCCTTGTGTCACACTGTCCTGCACCATAGAAGATTAAAAAATCATCAACATAACGAAATAACTAAACGGTATGTGTCTCAGCAACCCTCACTTGTATGCATTTGTCATAACGAGCCAATAAAATGTCACTAAGGACTGGAGCTAAACAAGAACCTATACACACGCCCTGTCTTTGAATGTACCATTTGTCATTTCTCGTGACGAACGAGGACTGCAAATAAAAGTTCAGAAGTTCAAAAAAGCTATCTACGTCGGTTCCACAAAGTTTACAAAAAACATCCTCACCATATCGCTGGATGCACTGTTTCACCTTCTCACACAGAATGTCCTGATATAGGGAATAAATTAAGTCCTTAACATCCACGGAAAATGCACAGGCATTTAGGGGACAATCATCACATAGGAAGTCTGAGACGTCCTGGTGTTTCTTATGATGAACGGATCTTCAATGGTAAGGGCTGTAATATGCATTTTTAGATACTTTCCAACAAGTTTTTGCCAGGAGTCACGCTCCGATACGATGACCCAAAAAGGACACAGTTTCTTGTGGGTCTTGGCGATGAAGAAGACAGAGAGGCTTGTACCTCTGCATGTCCTCACCGACAGGGCCAATCTAGTGAGCCCAGCTATTTGGCACAGCTTCCCAGCTTCTCGCTTTACTTTTGCCAGAGCTACTTTTGGCAGTTCTCTGAAGTGCCCTGATAAGGCTGCTACCACCTTTTCTCTATAGAGTGGTTCTGGAACCAGAACAAACCCTCCTTCCTTGTCGGACTGGAGTAGCTTGATGTCTGCTTTTTTAAGAGCAGACACGACATGCGGAATTTTCAAAGTTCCTTCTCTCATGGATTCCTTGGGCAGACACTTGACTGCCTGTTGAACGCAGCTCTCAAATTCACCAGCTTATGTTCTTCCCGAAGCCTGCCTGACGAGACTGAACAATTCAGTTCATCAAGCTTCAAATCGACGCAGTATTTTGGTCTGAGTTTTAGAAAGCACTCCACATCATTTGGAATCATTTCATTGCCAAGAACGACCACTTTCTGCCCCAAAAAGGGTAATTTCGATGTTTTCATTGGTAGCCTTATCACTATAAAACACTAAAGAAACTCAGCCGTTTGCGAGGCCTTCCGCAGATCCTGGTGGAACATTTTCTTCGCTTTCTTGAAGGGACCCTGCTTCAGGTTATTGGCAAGAAGAAAATTGATGAAAAATCTCACCTGTCTCCAAGCTTCTCTTTTTGGCATCTTGCATATCCTTTTCTTGTGGCCCCAGAAAGGTTGCAGTCCACCAAAAAGACGTGAAACTTCCGGTGGTAGGTAAGAATTCTTCACCGAAAAGGCGTAAAGCCTGGCTTTGCACGTTGCATCAACGATCAAACTTATGCACGCCAGTCTCGAACAGGCAGGGTAGAGAAAAGAGCACGATGTACTTGAAATATACTGCAAAAGAGTGGCTACTTGGGCTGGTTGGTATTGCATTTCTTTAAAGAAATATACTTTCTCAGTGTGCAAGGAACGTTTTCAGAAGGAAGATAGAGCCAAGAGATAGAACAGAGCGCACACTTACAACCAATTTTATTTCACAGATGGTGGGAATATATATACATACAAGAGGGCAAGGAGATCATACTCAGATGAAAGGACAAATGATAGCGCATGCACCAGACCACCTTATTCCTACCTTGAAATGACAACCTAACTGAGAAGATACTCATATCCATTATCCGACAGATTGACGGACGGGGCACTTCCCCAAAGGAAGGTAGGTTCCTTTTCACGTTCAACACACTGCTGTTCGTAAAAAAACATGACAATCACCCCGATGGCTCATTTTTTTGACCGAAGGCTTTCCTACAATATTGCACTAACAGCTTCCATGGCACAAGCTCTCTATTAGTCTCATAGTGCAGTACAATACACTGCTCTGGCTCAGTACCGGTAATGTCCAAAAGAGAAAAGGTGAGATATGTAAGGCATTTCCTGGAGTTTGTGGCATGCTTATTGGTACCTCATTAGGTAGGGCACCCGGTACCTAATGTCGCGGTCGAAGAGGTCGTGGCTATGACTCCCTGGTAATCTTAATCTGCAAAAGTCTTTCTCCTGGTTTCTATTTTTCATTCTTTCCTGACGGGCACTTTGCTAACATCACTTCTGTGATGGAAATGCCATAAATGAGGTCTTGCTGGACCCAAGCAAAAATAACTGGTGTCAGGAATGAAGCGCTTGGAACCCTTCATTAAGAGGTTCAATGATCCTCATTGAACCCCTCATTGATCCATGCGATGGCCTGTTCACGAGTGTGGTTGGGCAAGTGTCCAGTCTTGACTATAGTTTGTCTGGTAGAACAGCATCCAAAGCAAGCATCTATGATCGAGGTGCCACCCCGAGAAAAAAATGGAGTATTCGGGGAGCAGTTCTGCTACAGAACGATAATCCACATCTGACTAGCTCACGTTTTCTTTCTTGAGAACCCGGGGCTGGCCACTTTCTTATCAGGAATGCTACATCACACTGATAAACCGCGCCTACTTCACGACCGCAAACCACCAGGACCATGGTGATACCGCGAAAAAAGTACTCGAAGTAGATGACGATTATTGTTGTGTACAACAAACACTCCCCAAATGCTCTATTTTTTTAAAGTGATCTAGGCCGCTGCAATGTTATCAAGTCATTTTTCTTATTTATAACTGAAAGCAAAGATACTACTGCAGCCCAGGAAGGCCCTGCCGCTCAAGCGGCATGCTGTGCTGTGGATTCACTATGCATTTCTAGTAATAATAGGCATTTGTAAGAGCCAACTAATGCACGTGAGAATACTTGCCTGCTCGCGGGGATTGTTAGGTGACTGTCCAGTTTTCACGTCATAGTGGGCCCTGTGGAACGGCATGTATCGCTGACCTGTGCACTTGCTGTCGTACATTTCGTCGCAGCGGCTGATAGGAATGCGATGAAACTCGATAGGGCATCCCGGCTCACTCGCCATCAAGATCTCCGATGAAATAACTTGGCCTGGGAAAAAGCAGAGAATGCCGGCAAGAAGCCACTGAATAAAGCGACTGACAATATTGGTGCTGTTCGAGCAAATGTTGGCGCATGTTTTGCATTTCGGCCTTTTAGTATAACCAGTCCTATCGCTGTACGTTATTATTCCCTGCACCCTGTATATTTTTTTCCAAAGCAGGCTTATTATGTTGGAATGATCGAGTACCAAAGAGAAAAGCATGTATATAACCCCAGTACTATTAGTGCAACAACAAGAATTATCAAGTACGAAACAGCAAGAGATTAAAATATTTACAAACATTGTACGAAATCTAAGTATTACAGAACAACAACAGAACTTCTCTTAAAGCTTTTTCACAAAATATATAACAAGAAAAGTTTGAAATAAGACTCATTATGGATGTTTTATTTTGTTGCTTACGCATTTATTTATTATAAAAAGTAACTGCTCTAGAAGCGCCTGTGGGACATTGGTAGAACCACTGGCCGTGGGCACACATTCGGCCATCACTCCTGGTAACTTGTTGCATGCCTTGCAAGCAGGCAGCTTCGACATTTTGCCACCGAACTACCATCCCGATACACAGGACAAAGTTGTCCGCGACTATGGGCACCCTGCGCTTCCAACTTTCAGCAGATGGGAACGCCTTTCGCGGCAGTGCATGCATCCGTGAGGTGATATCAGCTTTTGAACGCGGTGACTTGTGGCAGCATTCATGCCAGCTCGTTCGTGTTTTTTCCACAGTTTTATGAAACATTTCTTCTTTAACGGTGGCTCCATGGCTCAGCTTTGCAGCAGGGAGATTTCTTGTGCTGTAATCTGTCACAGTACCTACAGCAATTCACCTGCAATGAAGTTTTACTGCTTGCCAAAAGCTCACTTGGAGGACACAGAAATGTTCACCATGACAAGTAAGACTTTTGTCTTTTTATTCAGTGCAGGCTGTTATGCTTTTTTTGATTGTGGGGAATTTTTTGGTCGCACGATTTCGTGCTTCGACATCGGCAGTCGCGCCACCCTCACCCCCACTGCGCATGCTCGCGTCTCGTGTCGGCCCAGAAAGACACCCGCAAAACTGTTGCTCCCCTCCCCCTCTCTTGCCTAAAGCGGACACACGCAGCACCTGCTAGTAAAAAACCAACTGCTCGTGCTGCACAACCATTCAATGGCCACCCCGTATATGAAGGTACTGGATCGCGTGTTAGGAATTTAAAATGACAAGTAATCATGATCTACATTATTTCGTGTACTTGTTTTTACATTGAATGGGTACCATGTGGACATAGTTAAAATTTCTTCATATTTCACCGAACAGTGGTGGAACAGGCTGTGTGCCCACAAGAAATTGCAGAACTTGCAGTTGGCATTTAGTAGATAATGCTAAGGTCAGTAAACAGGAGCACACTGCCTACTGCCCAACTATAGTATTGCAATAGCAATTATATGGGTAGTCTCCGACTGGTTTTTGCCATTCACTGCCACCTCTGTCATTCACATATATGTATGTATATAGATAAATATAGATACGGAAAAGGATGCGCTAGCCGCCTCTCTCAGGGGAGCGAACACCACCTTTCCGGGCAGGGTCGTCTGCGTGCGTGCTTATCTCCAGAGTGAACAAAGAGGAGGGGGGGGTTCTCATGGTTGCTGCGCTATCGCGGCAACGATCAGCACACAGCTTGTGCCCCCATAGCAGGTGGGAACTTCCACAGGCTGCGTTCTCAACACGAAAAAACGATGCCAAAAGTGTACCTGGAGCAGCCGTGCTCTCTTACACTAGCGTTTTGTAGCGTTGTAGAGTTACGTGAAATCGGATCTAAGTGAGTTGACTGCCAGCCTCACTTCGTATAACATTGCAATGTGTCGCTATGACAGCATCGCCGAAAATAAGTTACATTTGCCAGGGATTGGTGGACACGATGACATGATCACTGATGGAAAACAAACAGGTTTAATAACTATTCATACCGATTGCATCACGGCTTCTTTCCCGAGCGCGTCCTACCGCTCCGAACGCCAGACGTCACGCGATCTCTCTTTTCCGTCTCGCAAGCCAAGCACAGTTGATGCTTCCCCAATCCGACGACAGATGTCGCTAGTCTTTCAACTCACGCCGTTCTCTGAATTGTCGTTAGGTGTCGCTAGTTGCTCAGCTAACACTTAGCAAGCGCATGTTTACTACAAATATTATTGCTTTTAAAAATGCTAGCCTTGCATCGTAGAACATTCGAATATGTTTCTGCAGCATTTATCGCTCTGCCCTTTTGTCGAATATGTGGCTTTTTTCCACTTCCTTACAAACAGGTTGGAATAGCTCAATGATCTAAACGCTGAAAGGTACGGTAAAATATACACATGTTTTGCACGTTGTTTAGGCTTGACAACGATGAGTATGCCTTTTGTTCACGATGCATTAGATTCACAGTTTAAGTTTTTCGAGCTGGTACACATGTTTTTTGCTTATTCTCATGCTCATGTGTTAGTTTTGTTAGATTTAAATAACAAAAAAAAACTACGCGCTAAAGTCAGTTTTGTAGGTAATTATTCATTTTTTACAGCAATATTGTTTTATTATAGGCAGCGTCTTCTGCGCCGCACGGCGCAGCAGCCATCCCCACACAGAAGTGGCTGCTGCACCGCACGAAAGTGACGTCACTTAAAAAAATATTACCTAAAGCTAGTTAAATGTGTAAACTATTCGTGCGTAATGCATTAAACCTACAAAACTTTTACTAAACAGGTGTTTAACGAGTCGATTAGCCTAGGTTTGTTATTTAAATACATATTACAAGTATTTTGAATACAGAGGGCGCCATGAGCGCTGCAGCTGCGAAAGGTAAACACTGCGAGATGATAGCCGCCTGCGATGTGTTAGGTGGTGAAAACTCCGATGAAATCGTGGTCATGGCCCAGGCCACTCCCAAGGAGGACTGGAGTGTCGTCGCTGCTTCATGTGATTGCTGGATGCTTAGTTGAACCTGGTGGTTGGAGCTAGCGCGGCCGTCCACCGCGCCGCAGCTTCATCTGAGTGTGTGCGCCATAAAGTTTCTCAGTATGATGTGCGGATTACAGTCGTTGGACGTACTGCATTTTCTAGATTGCAATGCCAAGCGTGGTGTTGTCAAAGGTGAAAGTGTTCTTCCTGCCGAGTTTTGCTTGTCGCGAAGTACAAGGTCGACGATGAAATAACTGCTTTCGCACGGTTCACGTGTGACTGACCGGATGCACATGCATGAAACCCCAGTGCGTCGGCAAAGTGTTGATATGATGGATGGAAACAATTTTATTGTAATGTTCTTACGAAGCCTGTGATCTCCGAAGGCCAGAGCTACTGCATTGCCGTCTGTTTTGTCAAGTGCGAACACGTACGGCCGTTCTCATCCGTTGCTACGTGAATGCTCCCGTGCTGTGACAGGCCGCGTGTGTTATTGAGCAAGGCAGACAAGCTGTTTTGTAGTTAGATGGGCTAACGCCGTCGGCACTTGCCCTTGGGCATTGTTTACCAAGTGCTGATCGCCGAGAACATTGCAGTGACACGTCAGTATTTTTAAAGAAAGCGGCCTGCCGGTTACCTCGTCAGGTGATGGTACACTAAGCGACATAAAAAAGTTGCCCGAGACTACGTTGCAGTGCACCTTTCTGTCATCAAAACTTTGATAAACCGTGGAAATCAACATTCCCGACACCTGTGCTGAAGAAACCAATGCAGCCAGCTGCATTCGAGTTTTTGTGTCTCGCCGATTAAGAGCACCAATTTGCAAAACACTTTATCATAATAAATATAGTCAATCCTGCAAGAGTCATCGAAGATCCATTATTAAAGGGCCTGTGGACGGGACCACCACCAGCAGCAAGTCGTGCTGATGAGGAGGCGTAAATGTTAAAACAATACATGCGTGAACAAAAAAAAAAGACAAAGTATTGATAACTGCAACGGGACTTGAACCACCAACCTCACCAGTTCATGTGCTGCTTTAACCAACTACGTCACAGCTGCCTTTTTTTTTTTTTCTTTATTGCCTAGCAAATCATGACTGTTCACATTTTACATATTTACATATTGGTCCATATTCAAGTGCGTCACAAAATACACCCACAGAATTTATTGAGGTACCGTCAGTTCTTGGCTGACTATTAATCAATACTTGGGCATTCGTAACAATCGCTCAATGCACCCAATCCAGTCTGGCACATCCTCTTGGCTTTTCAACATTTCAAGAAAATGGCACACAGATTTGCAAAAATATTGGCGCACAGCTAGCACTTCTACATCCGCGTTTTCAAAGGCACATCGGGTTTTCCATATACTGTGCAGGCCCAGAAGCATAAGATCATAAGGTACACCTGCCTCGTTTTTAACCGAAAGAAAACGGATGCCATGTGGACTTAACGGTAATTCTTTTTTCAAGGTTCTTTGCAGTATATCCCAGAAAAAGACCCCGCTCCAGCAATCTATAAACATGTGTTCAATTGTTTCCGGTTTATTACACAAGTGGCAATTTGTGCTCCATGGCACGAATATTCCCTTATCCTGCAACCACGTTTTAACTGGTAAGGTACCAGTATGTAATTTAAAGAAAAAAGTTTTGACTCCTGGCGCTACAAGCATTCTTTTAACACGTTTCAGAACATCCTGTCCTGGGCCTGCACAATATAGCTGACGATACAATGGACCAGGCAGTAAAACATCGACAAGGTCTCTATACAATTTTTTACGTGGTACTTCAGCCAGATACTCCAACGAAAATCTTACTGACAAAAAGCGGAAAGACGAAACAACTTCTTTTAAATACCCTTGTATTGGTCCTTGCATATTTGATGATGATACGAGAAATCCCGGCAGCACTCTAGATAACCTTAGATGTATAACAGTTCTCAAAAAGGGGTCATCCACATCACGCAGAAAAAGGAAACGATTGACAAGTTGTCTTATGTACAAATGAACTAATCCGAGTCCACCATCTCTAACTTTTCTGAAAAGGTTTGTGCGGCTTGATCTTTCCCA